ATTGGCCAGAAATTAGCGTGATAGTGATTATAATGTAATTGTGACTATAAAGGAGTGATTTTATAATTAAAAAAAATTGGACTAACGAACAATGTGACTAAAAGGGAGGCATGATTGTACAGGAGGTGACTATAAGGGGGGACGACTGTATTCACTTAATTATGTATATAGAGATCTTCGTAAGCATAATCTTGTTCGCAATCAATTAGGAAATATTGTTATTATTGATTGGGGATATAGCATAAAATTGGAGGAGAATCATAACTTCGCATTTGCTGAAGCGTTGTAGTGTATACTGGATAACATCTTGCAATTAATAGTCAATAATGATGATGATATTATTTATGGACCAAGAGTTGATTTGACATGTTTGGTGCGTTCATTCTATTTAATGCTTTATAAACCATTATTAGATAGAATTCCATTCGATAAAGGGGATGATATCAAGAGTCGAGCACAGATGATGCTAAATTTCTGGATGGGTTGTAGACGTTCAGATGTATGGGATAGCATTTATAATGTAATAGAAATCTTAGACTACGATCAATTAATTCAACAGCTTGAAAGATTGTTTTAAATTGCTAGCTTCAGGTAATTTGGATTTTATTGCTAATTGCTATATCTCTTCTAATTTCTAATAGTATCAAAAAATTTAATATAATATTGCTTATTATTTCCATCATATATATCAATAAAAATTAGTTTATATGACGTGATGTTAGTAACTGTGATGTAGTGTTTTACTTTTGTACTCCGCATATCATATATAAATAGCATTAATTTTACATATATAATGCATCGTATAAATAATAAATTTTCTTGATTGATTGCACAGGTTTACTGCGCTGAATGCCCAAATCCTACACATGTGTGTTCAGACTCAGAAATAAATTTCTTCGGGAGGGAATGCTTTCCATTATTCCCTTGCCTTAATCTTAGAAAATATTTCGCTAAAACAATTAGATTATATCCCGCAGAAGTTATGTTTCAAGTGTGATATCAGAATAACTTTTGCCGAAGAATAGGGCTATGCGATATGCGAATCGCATATATATTTGCATATTTTTTTTGCATTTATTTTTGCGTATTATGTCTCTGGCTACACTATTATCATATCGATAAAACAATATTCAGGTATGGATATTTTTTTCTGGCAATCCTTATTTCGCATATGAGATTTGAGGATGCATATACTAATCCTTCGTCATCTTTATTGATTTGCAAGGGATTAACAAATGATGAAAAAAAGTGCATAATTGCTGGTGAAATCTGGGAAATGTTTTCTCCTAGATATTTACCTGGTGCTATAAAAACAGGGACTTGTATGAGAAATTACATAGTTATTTTTCAGAAAACGATATCATGAAGAACCAAGAGAGCTCAACTAATACAGAAGTTCCATTTGATGTGACAGAGATCACTGCTGACGATATTAATACAGAGGATATTGAGGGAGTGGAGGGTATCATAAATACCTTTACCCAAAGTAGAGATATTTACGGAATACAACCAAAATGCAATAAAGCCCTAAAATTACTCGCATTACATATATTAAAACACCTCCTAGAGGATATTCTTCGTGAAGGGCTAGATTTTCGTCGATTAAATCTAATGAAGCTATCCCAGATTATGGGTCATGTATGAAATGTGATATCCCTATTTTGACAGAAGACCCGCCTAGATCGCTCGTTTTAAATGTTTGTGATAATATGATCCATCAGACTTGTGCGAGAGGAATTGATAAAAGAGGAACATTATATTGCTTATATAGTATGAAGGAAGATAGCGATCCATTATTGCTTTCAGAGGATCTTGAATTTGATGATGATCTGTTTGAGGAAGCTTGTGATAAGTGTTCTGAAGTAATCTCTAAAGTGCCTCTATTAAGGCTTAATGCTTCTGTTTCTAAACCAGTCGTACTACTACCATGCAGACATAAGACATATTTTGAATGTATTAGTAATAAGAGTAAGCTGTGTCCTAAATGCCTGTCAATTGATGATCTTGAAAAAGAAGAATATTATATTTCACCTACTTTCGATGAAGCATCCAAGAAAAGGAAGAGGAAAGATGATTCACATAAATCTAGTAGGGATACAAAAGCGCAAACCATAATTTGTGAGCTGTCCATCTGTCCAGCTAGTGAAGTATCAATTAGTGCACCTCCCGAAGATTCTGACATGAGAAAAGTTTCAAATCAATTCCATAAATTATATTATGAGATTGATGATACAGAAAAAAATGGGGATCGGACTAATAGAGATTTAGTTCGTTTCTATTTTCGATTTGGAAAAGCCTTATCAGAGCGATTAGCTATACTTTTACAAAGCAATCCTTCACAAACGGCGCATACAAAGCTAAACAAAGAAGTTAAGAAAAAACTTCTAAAGAATACAAATAATGGTATGGTGCGCAAGAGAACGAATACAGCCAGAAAAATTTATGACATCTTTAGCGTGATAGGGAAGATAAGATACTTTGTATCAAGTCTTTTACTGCATATAGTTTTTTGGATCTAACGAGAAGTAAGGTTATATACATCATAAAAAATTTTGAGGAATAGTGGTCATTACTGCACCACAGTCACGTGATACAGTCTCAGCTAGGGTTGGAAAGGTCCGTCCTGATTTGGTCCTGGTCTTATAACTTGCAGGTCCCATCATCAGGACTTGTAACCTAGTCTTTAATAACTGATTTTGTAACTGGTTCAAAACTGGGTTTAGGACCAGTTTTTAAACAGATAATTGTGACCTTCAATTCATTATAGCCATAATAATACAATTTATTCATCGAAGAAGCAGAGTTTAAATGATTATAAATTCAATGTTTAAACAAATAAATTTAAATAAACAACTAAAATTTTTAATA